AACCGTTTTCTGCCTACAGTATTTACTGGTTCCCATTGCCATGATGGGCCTTTTCTTTCCCATCATCTCTCCTGCTCTTTCCCGAGGGCCCCTGCCTCTCTGCTGCCTGTCCTGCTGTCGCACTGTCACTTTCCTTGGATTTGGAACAGTGAGCTACAGTCACAGAGAGGGTCATCTATTGGACGTTACCCAGGCAGCTGCTCTGGTGCCAGATGGACCGTTTGTTGGACTGAGGGTCTCAGCTGGGTCCAGGCTGGAATCAGGCTGACTAGCTTTGTGGCTTCTGCTTTGTGACCTAGGATAAGTGGTATGACGTCTCTGACACCCCAAAGACAGCTGTTGTTACCGAGGCCCTGTGTGCCGGTTGTCTGGACTCTATCACACCCTGCAGCAGGAGGGAGCTGTGTGTTGGGCACAGAACACAATCCAGACAGCTGCCTAGGATGAAGCAGAGGCCAGGCTGGCTCTGTGTCTTGTTGACACAGCATTAGGGTTGGCCGACCTCCGAGCGCTCACTTCAGTTCCAGCTGGGCGGCTGCGTCCAGGATGCTGCTCTCCATCTGAAGTCATCTTTGCCTTCTGCATCTTTCTTGCAGATGATTCTTCCACGAAAGTGGACATGAAGGAGCCCTACGACGCAGAGGCCAGCACCTTGTGAGTGAGCCCGGCCCTACGGTGCTAGTCGGCTTCCAGGCTCACCTCAGCCCTGGTGGGCCCAGGTCCCCATGTTCCACACTGTGCCTCCTGTGTCCACTTCTAGAGCTGTTGCCACCCCTCTATTCTCTCCTGCCCCTGTCCACCAACCACGGCCTCTGGAGAGTGGCCTTGTAAGAGGCACAGTGGATGGGGGTATTTGGCACCTTCCCTGCCACCACCTGGACCACTGTGGCAGCTCCCCACACACTGTCCCCACCTGCATCCTGTCAGCTCTGGGCTGCGCTAGCAGACTGCTCACAGCCCCTGTCCCAGGAGCCCCTCTTTCTTAAGAGCCTGTCTGAGGCCACTTCTTTGGGGAGCCCAGGACCAGCCTGAGCTGCCCGCTCCTGGGCTCCCTCCACCTGGCCACACATGGCAGGGCTGGCCCTCCTGGCGTGGTCCTTTCTGACATCTCCCTGCTTATGGATGGGCACCTGCAGTGCATGTGGGATCTGCCCACCTACCACATTCCTTTGCAGCTGCTTCCCTGACTCTGTGGATGCCGGGGGCCTGCCATCCTTGTCCTTCTGCATGCAGACATCACCCCATGGCAAGACAGTGAGCGAGAGCGAGCTCAGCACCAGTGCCACGGAACTGCTGCAGGACTACATGCTGACGGTAGGAGGTGGCTGCCCTTTCTGCTGGTTCAGAAACATGCGAGGCTGCGTTGGGAGTGCTGGGCCATCGGGGCTGGACCAGAGTGGTGCCAGGTTCTGGGGGAAACAGTGCCTCCTGCCATCCCATGAGCTGATGCTTTCCTCATCTGGTGCCTAGCCCTGTCCTTCCTCATCCCCGTGTGCACCCCGAGAGCGTTGACCTTGGCCTCCAGGGGCCGCCTCAGTGCAGAGCCAGCTCTCCCCTCCCTCCTGCCCTTTGAAGAGCATTCAGGTTCAGGGAGAATGAGCTGCTTTGGTCTCTCATTTTCCTCCTCTGGGTGGCTCCAGGCTGGGCCCGAGGACAGGGATGCACTGTAGCATTCTGACCCTGCAGTGGGTGCAGATGCAAAGCCAAACATGGCGGTGTGCTCTCAGCACTTGCTGACATGTGTGTTCATCCAAGCCCACTGCACAAGCGCTGCCCGGGCCATGGCGGGGTGAGGACCCAGCCACACTGTGCCCAGCCCCCTGCCCTGCTCTGCTCTTTCCCACAGCTGCGCACCAAGCTGTCCTCGCAGGAGATCCAGCAGTTCGCGGCACTGCTGCATGAGTACCGCAACGGGGCCTCCGTCCACGAGTTCTGCATCAGTCTGCGACAGCTCTATGGAGACAGCCGCAAATTCCTGCTGCTCGGTGAGCAGGGCCGGAGGGAGGCTGGGCTGTGGGACCCACCAGTAGGTACTCATTCTCCTGAGACCCCTGAACTGAGCTGGGTGGACCCTGCCAGGGAGCAGGAGAGGGGCCCTAGGACTGGACCTGAGCAGAACCCTGCAACTGAGGAAGAGAGTGCTGGAGAGGAGTTCGGGGGCTCTTCAAGGAGGTGACACTCAACAGAGCGCCGGTGGCTCACACTTGTCATCCTACTACTTGGGAGCGTAAGATCCGGAGGACTGAAGTTCAAGAGCAGCCAGGGAAAATAGTTCTCAAGATGTATCTCCAAAATAACCAGAGAAAAATGGACTTGGTGGTGGTGGTAGTTGAGGGTGTGGGGGGATGGCTCAAAAGGTAGAGTGCCTACTTTGCAAGTACGAAGTCCTAAGTTCAAACCCAGTCCCACACAAAAAAAAAAAAAAGGTGACACTTGAGTGGGTTTTGGTTAGTGTGTAGGAGTTTGCAGGGTGGGGAGGTGAAGACCAGCATCTTAGGGGGAAGGACCAGCTTTTGCCAAGACCCCTGAAGAGTTGAGCATGTTAGGTCCAAGTGCCTGGCAGGCGGGGGGTCATGCCTGCCACAGACTGCCGGGTCTGCCCCACCCCTCGAGGGGATGGTGGCACTAGCGGCTGTGGTTTTTCTCTCTGCCAACACTCAGACACAGCGAGTTGGCAGCAGCTAGTTGAGGGCTACCTGGTGGTGAGTCTGGCTGGTGGGGACATGAGGACTGGAGGCTAGGCCTGGTAGAGACCAGCCTGAGCTTAGGGCTTGGATTTAGGCCCTAGTGCCAGCTCAGGGTGGGCCTTTAGTGGCCCCCGTCCTTCCATCTTGCTCTCAGGAGCTTCTTTTCAAGAGTGGGTGGAGAGTGTGAGGTGGGCTACCCACTGCTCAGAGCCCTGATGGCTTTGGCAGACGGGCAGTCACCCGGCCCCCAGGGAACTCACTACTCTCCACCACCTCCCTTCATTCGAAAGCCCTGCAGGGCCTTGCATGTCATATTGAGGCCAGACGGGCCAGTCGGGGGTGAGGGCTGTTGGCTATACAGCGGCACCCACCCCTTGCATACATGCATAGGGCCCTCATGTCCTCTGGAGGGGGCAGCTTGCTGGGCTGGGCGCTGGCTCTGAGGACAGTAGCGGCTGAGGCCAGTGTGTGGCTTTGAGGACTGCTCAAAGCTTTGGTTTTCCTGTATGCAAAATGGAAGGAGAGGAGGTTACGGGCCCCTGGCCTGTGCTGCCTTGAGGCCCAGGAGAGTGAGATCAGTCAACAGCATGCAGTCTGAGTTGGGGCTTGGCCAAACCTTCTGCTCGTGTTGTTGGGGTCTTGGGGCTGTGCCCCAGGAGCAGCCATTGTCCTGCGTGGAGCCTGAGCCCCTGGTGGGCCTTGTTGGGGTGTGTGTTGGCAGGCCTGAGGCCCTTCATCCCTGAGAAGGACAGCCAGCACTTTGAGAACTTCCTGGAGACCATCGGTGTGAAGGATGGCCGTGGTATCATCACTGACAGCTTCGGCAGGCACCGGCGGGCCCTGAGCACCACGTCCACCTCCACCACCAACGGGAACAGGGCCGCGGGCAGCCCCGATGACCAGTCAGCACCCTCTGAGGGGGACGAGTGGGACCGCATGATCTCAGACATCAGCAGTGACATCGAGGCACTGGGCTGCAGCATGGACCAGGACTCGGCGTGACGGACTGCCATGGAACATCTACATCCGCCGCGCCGTCCCGCTGGCTGGGGCGGGGGAAGGGCTGCAGGCACATGGCCCCAGGAGGCTGGGCCTCTACTGTGAAGGAGTGGGGAGCCACCAGAGGATATGCGTCCCAGTGCAGGGCGGAAGGCTCTGCCTTGTCTGTGGGGCTCAGCCCTGCCCTACACCACATCCCTGCTCGGGGAGGGCCGTGCCAAGCCGCAGGGAGAGCCAGTGCTGTCTGCCTGGCCCTGGACAGCTGTTAAATTTGCACACGACGTTCCTCTTGTAACTCTCAGAGACCTTAAAAAGTTGTTTACTACAATGTGAATAATTTAATCTCCAGTTGCCAAGCTTGTTTCTGATCCAGTTGGGTGAGAGCCATGTTGCCACAAGGGGTGTCCACTCTGCCCTCTGTCCCTGAGGCCACGTCTGCCCATGGTATCCAGGGCTGGGCATGATGGTCTTGGACACTTTGGGGCAGAGGTATCAGTGACTGGGGCATTGGCTTTGTAGATAACAGGGCAGGGCAAGTGCCCTAGGGTCTCTCGTAGGTTGTAGGGACAGTGTGTGGCATGTCAGTGTCTAGAAGGCCTTGATCACTACATCCTGTGCACAGACTGCCCCAGGGACCATGATGTGTTCTGGCCCCTTGCTTGGCCTGTTGGGTCAGGAGTGAGGTCTGCAAAGTCCTCTTCATCTCAGAGCCCAGAACCTGGGTTCAGAAGAGGGGCACGAGGGCCAGACAGCCCTCCCCATGTCCTGTCCCAGCCCCGCCCCCAGCCCCAGTGAGCTCCTCCCCCAAGCACTGCTGGCTTCATTTTTGCCTCTGTCCTTTAGGCACTTTCAACCCTCTGTAGGACACAGGGAAGTGAGGTGACTTGGGGTCAGGATGACCCAGGCTTGCTAGGGCACATTCAGAAAGCTGGGCTGAAGAGCCCAATCACACCCGCTCCTATCCTTGCTGGGGCCTGTTACCCCTGTACAAGGAAACTTGCATGTCAGGCATGGGTGCTCTGTTCAGCTGGGACTCTACGGGCACCCCAGTTGTGTCTGGCCAGGACAAGCCACAGGGTATGGAGGGTCTCACAGGTGCCTTCCTGAGCAGGTCTACCTGGTGTCATAGCTGTAGGACAGCCCTGGGCAGTGCTTTACGGGGAGAATTTTTCCATCGTGGACTGTCCGGGAGCTGGTCATGGAACCTCAGGCCAGGTAAAGCCGAGACACTGTCTCTAGATTTATATGTAAATGACTGTGTCCTGATGAAGGGCTGAAGACAAGCCACACACCGTCCCCTCAGCTCCTGTCCCCTTACCTCAGCTCATGCTGTGCCTAAGTGGGTCTCAGTGCTCCCATGCACCCACTGAGCACAACCTTGTAGGGCACGCTAGTGGAGTTAAGGGATCTGGGGTGCCCATCCTAGACATGGCCGGCACTGAGGGTCGCTGGTCTCTGCCAACAGAGCAAGGACATGGAATAGACGGCCACTCTCAGCCTTAGCTGGGCCTGAGGGGACGCCAGGGACTAGTGAGGGGACGCCAGAGAGTAACACTGGAGAGAGATGAGGGGATGCCAGAGGGTGATGGTGGGACACCGGTTTATTGGGCAGCACAGCTGGGGCAAAGGACAAGATGGGCCAGCTTCCGGTCAGCAGCTACATTGTCAGTTCCTGCAGGAAAATGTGGACAGTGAGGTCACACTGAGGGAGGGCCTGTCCCGGGTACAGCTGACCACAGGACCTCTCTGGGGACCTCTGGAAGGTAGGGAAGGGCCAGCATTTGCTCACCATAATGGCGTTGACAATGTCACTGTGGTTGTCCCTTAAGGCCCGCACAGCCTTGGCCCTGGACACGTTGGCCTGGGCCATCACCAGCTCAATGTCACGCAGCTCCAGTCCAGCCTCATCCACCTGGTTGGGGAGCAGGGAGGTGTCTGGAGCTGTTTGAGGCCCCTGGGGTGGAACCCTGCAACCCCCTAAGCAAGGTCTGGAGCCTCCTAGCCTCACCTCCTCCTCGTCTTCCTCCTCCTCCTCCTCCTCCTCGCACTCTGGCCTCACCCGGGGCCTGGGTGCTGACTCGGGGACCAGGGCCGAGGACTCTGAGGGCACCTTGAACTTTTCTGCAGCAGCCTTGTGAACTTGCTGCGATAGGTCCTCTATCTGCAGCACGAGACAGCTGTGTCAGCAGAGCCTGTCCACTCCCTGTCCACTTCCCACCCCCGCAGCTGCAGCCACAGCCGGGACAGACCTTAGCCTCGCCAAAGACCACATAGGTGTCGGAGGCAGGGCTCTTGAAGACATCTGGCTTGGCGATGACAAACAGTATGTTCTTGGATTTCTGAATGGTGATCCTGGTGACTCCCTGGATCTGCCGCAGGCCCAGCTTTGACATTGCCTGGGGGAGAGGGCAGAGGGGCTCACACCGCCTTCCCTGTGTGTGTCATGGGCTGGCACCGTGGCCACCCAGTACATTGCAGCTTTAGCTGTTCAGGGGGAGGTGTGCTGTCACTGGATTTGACCCACACAGGGTGCCCCTGTGGATGGGATTTCACTGGCCATGGGGTGTCAGGAGTTTGGAAAGGATGTCTTCCCTGTGTAGTCAGTCTCAGTCCTAGGGTCCCCAGGGAGACTCCCACCTACCTTTCGTGCCTTCTTCTCACTGCGACTCTGCTTGGCTTTGGCCATGGCCTCCTCGCTGCTACCTGTGGGGGCCTGTGGAAAGGCAGGAGCTGAGTGTTTATGTTGGTAGGGGTTGGTAGGGGGTTGGTGCCCACCCAGAGGCCTGCCCCCTCCCCCAGACCAAGCACCTGGGCTGGGCTCTGCTCTTTCTGAGGTGCTGAGATGTCCTGCTCATCAAGTTCTGCCGATGACTCCCCATGGCTGTCCGAGTGCTGGCCTGAGCCTGTGGCTCGCAGTGAGTCTGAGGAAGGGGAGCTGTGTGAGGATGGCCTCTCTGGCCACCACCACAGAAGGCCTCCAGCCTCAGGACATCAGTGCCCTCCCCAGAGAGTCCCTCCTCACCTTCCTCTAGGCTGTCTTCGTCCTCTTGCTGCTCGGAGGTTGGGAGCCTCCTTGAGCCAGATGGGCTCCGGGTCCCTGAGGGAGGAGGCACTTGAGAGGAGCTCGAGATCCGGGAGGCCAGATCTTTGACCAGGTCTTTGGCATCCTTAGGGACCACCTTAGGGCTGAGGGGGGAGTGGGGCGAGAGGCTGACCCGCTGCCGGGCTCCTAGGGGCTTTGTGGTTCCTGAGGCAGCGGTGGAACCAGCAGCCTGCTGGGCTCCTGCCCGAGGCGGCAGGTGGACCCCAGAGGCTGGGGACTCCTTGTTCTCCATGGAGTTTTCCTGGGAGCTCAGGCACAGGCAAGGGGCAGGAGATGTCAGGGGTGGTGGGGCTGCCCTGGCAAGGACCCCAGGAACAGACTGGTCAGGGTCCAGAAGCCTATTCTGGGGTGCACTGGGCAGGCCCCTGGTAGGGTTTTCTGGGGGCCGTGGTGAGGTGGGGCTGAGCACACTGGGGGTCGTCTGAGGTTGTTGTCCACTGCCCAGGCCCAGCACAGGCTCCCGCTGCTGGGAGGGTGGTACAGGCAGGGCAGGCTCTTCAGGGCAGTCCGTGTCCAGCTGGCATGCCACCTGTGCTGGAGCCCTTGGGCAGGAGTCCAGTCTGGCCTCTGTGGCTCCAGCTATGGGAAGCCTGGATCCCTGGGTAACCTTACTGTTCAGGCTCCGTGCCTGGTCAACCTCCAGGGAGGCAGCAGAAGGTGCCTTGGGAGCCTTCTCTGTACCTTGGAGCTCTGACTTGGGTCCATGTCCCTGCACTGGTGGCTTTCGGCCTCTAACTCCCTGGTTCTTAACGCCCAGAGCTTCCTTTGGAGGCAAGTGGGTCTCAGCCCCATTGTGGGCTTCAAGACTTGCTTTCTGCTCAGGTGCAGACAGGCCTTCAGGTACTTCCTCCCCAGTGCCAGAGGCAGGCTCAGGGGCCTTGGGGGTCTTCCTGCCCAAGGTGGGACCTGCCTCTTCTCCTGACACCCAAAGAGTCCCAGCTTCTGTAGCCAGCTCTGGGCCATTTGGTTGTGCCTGGTTCAAGGCTAAAGGCTGTGTATCTTCAGAGGGTGCTGCATTCTGCTTCTCAGAGACTGGTCTTGGTCCTAAGACCACACCTAACTCCTGCTGGGCCACAGAAGCCCTGGGATTAGTGCCTGGGGTGCAGCCTACTTCCGCCTGCAGGTCGTGCGTAGTATCTGGAGTCATGGGCTCTGGGCCTGAGGTGCCATCTGTGTCTTGCAAGGGTGGGGGTACTGCCACGGGAGGGTCCTCGGACAATGTGACAATTGCTTCAGCCTGCTGGGGTCCTGTTGCGGCCACAGCCATGGGCTCTGGGCCTGAGGTGCCATCTGTGTCTTCCAGGGGTGGATGTGCTGCCACAGGAGGGTCCTTGGACAATGTGACATCTGCTTCAGCCTGCTGGGGTCCCGGTGTGGCCACAGCCATGGCCTCTGGGCCTGAGGTGCCATCTGTGTCTTCCAGGAGTGGAAGTGCTGCCACAGGAGGGTCCTCGGACAATGTGACATCTGCTTCAGCCTGCTGGGGTCCCGGTGTGGCCACAGCCATGGCCTCTGGGCCTGAGGTGCCATCTGTGTCTTCCAGGAGTAGAAGAGCTGCTACAGGAGGGTCCTCGGACAATGTGACATCTGCTTCAGCCTGCTGGGGTCCCGGTGTGGCCACAGCCATGGCCTCTGGGCCTGAGGTGCCATCTGTGTCTTCCAGAAGTGGATGTGGTGCCACAGGAGGGTCGTCGGACAATGTGACATCTGCTTCAGCCTGCTGGGGTCCCAGTGTGGCCACAGCCATGGCCTCTGGGCCTGAGGTGCCATCTGTGTCTTCCAGGAGTGGAAGTGCTTCCACAGGAGGGTCCTCGGACAATGTGACATCTGCTTCAGCCTGCTGGGGTCCCGGTGTGGCCACAGCCATGGTCTCTGGGTCTGAGGTGCCATCTGTGTCTTCCAGGAGTAGAAGAGCTGCTACAGGAGGGTCCTCGGACAATGTGACATCTGCTTCAGCCTGCTGGGGTCCCGGTGTGGCCACAGCCATGGCCTCTGGGCCTGAGGTGCCATCTGTGTCTTCCAGGAGTGGAAGAGCTGCCACAGGAGGGTCCTCAGACAATGTGACATCTGCTTCAGCCTGCTGGGGTCCCGGTGTGGCCACAGCCATGGCCTCTGGGCCTGAGGTGCCATCTGTGTCTTTCAGGAGTGGAAGTGCTTCCACAGGAGGGTCCTCGGACAATGTGACAATTGCTTCAGCCTGCTGGGGTCCCGGTGTGGCCACAGCCATGGCCTCTGGGCCTGAAGTGCCATCTGTGTCTTCCAGGAGTGGAAGTGCTTCCACAGGAGGGTCCTCAGACAATGTGACATCTGCTTCAGCCTGCTGGGGTCCCGGTGTGGCCACAGCCGTGGCCTCTGGGCCTGAGGTGCCATCTGTGTCTTCCAGGAGTGGAAGTGCTGCCACAGGAGGGTCCTCGGACAATGTGACATCTGCTTCAGCCTGCTGGGGTCCCGCTGTGGCCACAGCCATGGCCTCTGGGCCTGAAGTGCCATCTGTGTCTTCCAGGAGTGGAAGTGCTGCCACAGGAGGGTCCTCGGACAATGTGACATCTGCTTCAGCCTGCTGGGGTCCCGGTGTGGCCACAGCCGTGGCCTCTGGGCCTGAGGTGCCATCTGTGTCTTCCAGGAGTGGAAGTGCTTCCACAGGAGGGTCCTCAGACAATGTGACATCTGCTTCAGCCTGCTGGAGTACTGGTGTGGCCACAGCCATGGCCTCTGGGCCTGAGATACCATCTGTGTCTTCCAGAGGTGGATGTGCTGCCACAGGAGGGTCGTCGGACAATGTGACATCTGCTTCAGCCTGCTGGGGTCCCGGTGTGGCCACAGCCATGGTCTCTGGGCCTGAGGTGCCATCTGTGTCTTCCAGGAGTGGAAGTGCTGCCACGGGAGGGTCTTCGGACAATGTGACATCTGCTTCAGCCTGCTGGGGTCCCGGTGTGGCCACAGCCATGGTCTCTGGGCCTGAGGTGCCATCTGTGTCTTCCAGGAGTGGAAGTGCTGCCACGGGAGGGTCTTCGGACAATGTGACATCTGCTTCAGCCTGCTGGGGTCCCGGTGTGGCCACAGCCATGGACTCTGGGCCTGAGGTGGGATCTGTGTCTTGCAGGGGTGGGGGTGCTGCATCAGGAGGTAACACAGTACCCCCTTCAGCCTGCTGGGGCCCAGGTGTAGCCATGGTCACAGGCTCCATTTCTGAGGGGAACCCCAGGCCTCCTTCCTTCGAGTTCTCAGGAAGGTCTACACACAAGGTGGGACCTTCTTTTCCCTCCAGAGCTGAGAGTGAGTCTGTAGCAATGGACTCCAGGCTGAAGGCAGCGCTCATCCCCTCCTGGGAGGGCTGAGGCAGACTGGTGGCAGGTGCTCCTGTTGTGGTGGAGCCAACTTCTTTGTCCTCAGTCTCAGGAGTCAGTCTGGTAGCCACCTCCACCTGGAGGCCTTGGGCTGCTTGCATATTGCAAGGGATCACAGCAGCCTCGGACTCCTGGCCTAAAGCAAATCTGCCTTCTGTCTTTTCTGCAGCAGATTCCTTACTGTGGGTGGGATGGGCCCCTCCCTCTGAGACCTGCAGGGTGGTCACTGTCCCCAAGTCTTCTGGGCCCCAGAAGGTGGCCCTGCCTCTGTGCTCTTGCTCTGCCTTCTGGGCAGTGTCCTGCAGCAGGGTGCTGGGCTGGGCATGGAGCTCCCCACTGTACAGCCTATCGTCATCTGCCCCTGCATAGGAAGCCGAGTCTGAATCAGAGGAGGTGGCTGAGGTGTCATCCCGGAAGGCAAAAGTCTCATCCATGCCCTCAATGATGGACAGGTCAGACAGTGACTGCAGGAAGGACGCAGATGTGCTATCTTCCTCACCCTCCCCGGCCAGGTCCCCTCCTGGGGTTGGAGCATCAGCCACCACCTCTTCCTCCTCCTCCTCCTCCTGTTCTGGGGACAGTGGTGTCACCTCCACAGATTCCACCTGGAAGATGAGGCTACCCTGGAAGGGTAGGAGGGCTGCGGGGATCATGGGGTCATTTGCCAGGAAATCCAGGTCAAAGAAGTGGCCCTCCTGGCCCCAGGAAGAGCCACTGCCTGCTGAGGGGCTGCACTCAGAGGACGGCAGCTCTTGCTCATCCGCCAAGGACTCTGGTGGGGAAAGGCCCAAGCCCGAGGGGAAGTCCAGCCCTTCAGTTGGGGCCAACAGGCTGAGGGAACAGGACGGTGAAGAGGTCCAGCTGTCTCCATCGGCTGTGACATAGGAGCCCGAGGGTGAGGTGGGCACTGAGTCCAGCAGCTCATCCAGCAACTCAGCCTCTGGGTCCCAGGTGTCCCTATGGGGCCCATGGCAGGGGAGCAGGACGTAGGTGGTCCTGATAGGGGTGGAGGGAGGTGTGAAGTAGGAATCAGGGTCTGGGGGAGGGGAAGGCACAGGAGGATCACCCTGAGAACACAGCTCGGGGGGTGGGTGCAGGTTGGCGTGCCCACCATCCCAGTCCCTGAGCACTGGCCAGGCCACCCTGGGTGATGGGGGGGCCTTGCACGTCTCCTCGCCCATCACAATCCGAGGCTCCAAGGTGGCGGGCAGAGGGACCTCCGTGGGCAGGGCCTCGGTGGGCCGACCCTCCTCAGATAGAGCCTGGAGAGGCAGGCCCTCTGGGAGAAGTGCTGGGTTTGGGCTCCCTTCTGCAGGGTCCGCCCATGCTGAGGGGGCCCCACCGGGTCCTGCATCCCAACTGGCCCCCTCAGGCTGGGGCCGGGCACCCGGCTTGCTGGACAGGAACGTGAGGGCCAGGGGGTTGGGCCCTGGGGTCAGCACACGGGGCTCCTGTTGGCCCACTTTCAGGATGGTAGCAGAAGCTGCATCATAGGAGAGATCTGTAGAGACAAGGAAGAACATAAGGCACCCCTGAACGTGCCTCCAGGCCAGGCCAGAAGCTTGGCATGTGTGGCATGACAGATTTCCACAGGAAGAGCCCATGGGAGGGTTGGTTGGGGAAGGCAGTGGAGGCTTTATTTGAAGAGAATACCCAGGTGTCCACAGAGCAGAGAGCCGCTGACAGTGGCTTTGGGGAAAGGGAGGTTGTGCCGGGGAGATGGGAGCAGGGACCAGGCTACAGCCACATTTCTGGAGAATGGTGACAGACACATCCCATGGAGGCTGAGCTGGAGTTCCTGGCCTGCCCTGGGGACCTTCTCTGGTCGCAAGGTGACCTTGTGAGGAGGGTGCAGGTACTCAGGAAATCTCCACACATCTCCAGCTGACAAGCCATTCCACATGCACATACAGGTTCTAAGGGTACTCAGGAAGGTGGAAGAAAACCCTCCAAGATGGCACTACACCTGGCTGCTTTGCTGCCTCGTTTCTGGCTAGCCCATGTTTCCTCTGAGGTCATTCTGCACATAACACGTTTCAGTCTTGGGTTTTTCACCCAGTGTGCGCTAAGTGCTAACAAATTTTTATTTTTCTGTCAGTCCTGGGGTTTGAACTCAGGACCTTGAGCTCCCTAGACAGGTGCTATGCTCCAGCCCACAAAGCCTTTTTTTTTTTTTTTGTGGGACTGGGGTTTGAACTCGGCTCTGTGCTTGTTGTAAAGCAGGTGCTCTACTGCTTGAGCCACACCTCCAGTCCATTTTGCTGTGGGTATTTTGGAGATGGCGGTCTTGAGAACTATTTGCCTGGACTGACCTCAAACTTAGTTTCTCCTGATCTCAGCCTCTTAAGTGGTTTAGGATTACAGGCATAAGCTATTGGCGCCCTGCTACAAGCCTTGTTTTTAATGGCTCTAAAACATCCTCTCCTTCAACTGGACCAAAGCCAAAGACACATCTATTTGAAGCATCTGCTGAAGGCCCTCCTACTGCCCCCAGAGCCCAGGCCAAGTCCTGCCCAAGGGGGCGGGGCCATGCCTAGGGGCCCTGCCCAATGATGACTGCTCACTTGGTGACAGGTCAATATCCAAGGCACCTCAGCTTTCTCTTTCTTATCTGCAAATAAAGATAAGCCAGGATGAGCGGTGAGGCCTGGGCTGCCAAGGCATCTTTCCTTGGCAGCGTCAGGGCCCTTGGTCATGAGCTGGACCAGGGCATCAACTGAGGTAGCCAGTGGAGGGCCTGAGAGAAAGGGGAGATCCTTCAGGTCCCTTAAGGCATGCTAGATACTCACTGAGAGTGGGTGTGGCTACTGGGCATCTCTGGGTGCCCCACAGCCAGGATCTTGGCACTGTACTGACCCTTAGCATGGCCCCCAGGGCAGGGGAAGGGTGAAACTGGGACAAGGTTAAGATGGAAGGAAATTGAAAGGCCAAAGGTTTTGTGTTCATCCCAGGACACCAAGTGAGCCAGAACAGGACCCTGGGTCTGGGGAGTCCCACCTAGCCTGGTCTGCCTGTCTCCCACAAAGACAGGAGGTGGGAGCTATGTCACTTCTCTGCCAGGTTCCTGGCCCTGAAGTAGTCCCATCCCCAGGTGACTTCTCACCCACAGCAAGGTGCCCTTGGCCCTGCCCAAACCACACATGGCTGACTTCCAACAGGGGCCATCCAGGCTCTAAATATCCTGGGGCCAAGGGGGTAGTAAGCCTCCACCAGCCTCTCCAAGGACACCCCCTCCAGTGCCTCCCACCTCTGGACCCAGCTGGACTCCCGGGAGTGGCCAGTCCCACTCCTCCTTCCTGGGCCTGGGTAGAGCGGACGAAGTGCAGCCAAGGAAGGACCCTCCAGGAGGAGCCCATGGGATGGGAGGGGATGGGAGGGGATGGGTGGAGTGGGAGGGGATGGGGTAGGCCTGCAGGACCCGCGGGGCTCCTGCCCTGAGCCTGCTTCCTTCGGCCCTGTGGCCCGCAGCTCCGCGGACAATGGGGCGGCAGGACCGGAGCTGGAGGACGCGGCCCAGAGTGCGCGGAGCCCCGAGACCCCAGGCGCCCCTCCCGCCCGCCCTTACCCGGAATGTCCTGGAGGGATCGAGGGGACAAGGAGCCGAGGATGGAAGAGGAAAGGAAAGCCAGTGAGCGCGGGGCGGGAGCCTCACCTGTTCGCGGCCCGGGCGCGCCGGCCTCGGGCAGCGGCAGCTCGGCGCGGGCGGCCTCCCCGGGCATGGCCTGGACGTGCGCCCGCCAGGCCCTCCGTCTGTCCCTCTGTCAGTCCGTCTGTCAGTGCCGCCGCCCGGAGTGGCCTGCGCGGCCACCGCCCCTCAGCTGGTGTGGGGGGGAGCGTGGGTGACGTCAGCGCCGCCCCGCCCGCCCCTCGGCCCGAGCGAGCGAGCGAGCGAGCGTGCGCCGGCGCGCCAGGCATTGCGGAGCGGAGCGTAGGGGGGGAGGGGAGAGGAGGGCTCCCTCCCCACCCCCATCCGCTCCTTCCCATGTGCCCCACCTTCCCTGCAGCATCCCTCCCCCGCTTTACGGGGACCATTTGGAATCTGAGTACCTCCCTAGGTGGCATCACCTCTTAGCTGGAAAGAGGCAGAGGTGTCACCAGAATCAGGGGTGCAGAGGTCTGGGGAGATAGTCGGGTATCCTGGGGGTGTGGACGATGGCGCAGCCTACCCCTCAGTGACAGCAGAGGACATAGGGAGCCACCCCCCATCACCACACACACACCCCATGGGTTGATTAGAAGATGAGCTGGAGCTGCAGCTCTGGAGTGATTGGCTGGTCCTTGGCAGTCGTCGGTCTCCATAGCAACCGCCTCCTGTCTCTGTGGCAACCAGAGATAGGGAGAAAGCAAGGAGGGAGCGAGCACTGGGGAAGGCAGCCCCAGACCAGACCAGACCAGTGAGCGCGCGCCTGGGTTGAGCTGGGGTCTCGGTCCACCCCCTTCACTCAATTCTCAAGGCAGAGAGGGAAGCGGGAGGAAACGCGCCTCCGGCTTCATCCCCAGAGAAGATGCCCGCCCTGCCCCTCTTGAAATGAGCTAGTGCTTCCACGCTGGCCTCCGAGCCGCCAGACTCACAGGGCGTCCCCGCCCGTGCCAGGCACCGCACCAGGAGGGGGATGAATGGCGCATTGTCATCTCTGAACTGGGGTCGGGAAGTCAGAGCAGAGCAGCCATTGTGGCACGCAGGCAGGGAAGGGACCGCCTAAGCGCTCAGGAAGCCAGAGGCCGTCTCCCACCTCCCCGGACCTGCCTCAAGGCCCCTCCCGCTGTGTCCCAGGCATCATGGTGCTACACCCAAACCTAGTGCAGCTCAAGTTGCACCCCTAGGCGCTGGCAGTCACCCCAGTTCCAGCCTTCACAGGACTGTCTTCCTCCTCTCCTACTCTCTGCTAGGCCCCTTGACTCAGCTCACCTCCCAGGCATCTAAGTTGCTTCCTCCTGGGAGCTTTCTATTCTCTTCACTGAATTCTCACCCCACTGCCATCAGCTGTCTATATCATCTTGGCAATACCATGGATTTTTCAGAACCAAATGTTCTTTATGGTGCCTGAGGGGCTTCTGATGCAGAGCAGACAGCATGGGGTTTCTCTTTGTCTCTCCCTACTAACGTACAACTGTAAATCCAGGAAATGAGAGAAAACCAAAACTGGGCGTGATGGTGCATGCCTGCCTGGGCTACATAGCAAGACCCTGCCTGACAGAGGGAGAGGAAGAAAAAGCAAGCAGCGGGCTGGTGAGGGGCCAGGTGACAGCTTAGCAGCAGGCATCTTAGAAAACCCCATTCAGCAGAAAGGCCTGGTGTTTCCTGACCCCAACCTACCAGTAGGAAGACCAAGGAGATTTCTTCGTCACCATGTGGGAGGAAGGCCTGAGGACACCATCCGTAGACCCTGGCAGGACTGGCAAGGCAGCCTGACAGGAAGCATGCCCTTTCCTTCCCAACCCCCCCTCCCCACCCAGAGGCTCCTGGGAGTGGCATGCTGGCAAGAGGGTCCCACAACAAAAAGAAACATCACTCAAGCCACACTGGTGGCTCACACCTGTAATCCTAGCTACTCAGGAGGCAGAGATCAGGAGGATCATGGTTCAAAGCCAGCCTCAGGCAAATAGTACGAAAGACCCTATCTTGAAAAAAATCCACCACACAAAAGGCCTGACGAAGTGACTCAAGTGATAAGTGCCTACCTAGCAAGCTTGAGGCCCTGAGTTCAAACCCCAGTGCCGCCAAAGAAAAAAAAGAGACTTCAAATTTAACAATATAGAAACATTGGAAGTAAAAACAAGAAAGAGATAAACCATGCAAACATAAGCAAAAAACAGAAAAAATAGTAGAAATTGTTAATAGCTGAGAAAGCAGACTTTACAGAATAAGTACTAGATTCAAGGAGGGTTGTTATGCAATGACATGGTAGGAATTAGCCCAGTAGGAAGGTGTAATAGTCCTACCCAGGCAGCCTCCAAACAAAGGATACTGAAAGAAACAGACGAAATCAGCCATGACAGCTAAAGACTTGGTCCACTCCTGCCAGCACCTGGTAGATGAAGCTAGTAGACAGAAACTCAGCACAGCATGGAAAGTCTACACTATGCCATCGGCAAGCAATGTCCAATTGTTGTATGTATTCGACTCAACAAAAGCAGAACACATACATTATTGACTTATGTTTGCAGTTCTGAGGTTTGAATTCAGGGCCACACCTCCAGACCTAGCATATTTCTGACCTTGGGGGTGGGCACTCACTGGTGGCTCACACCTATACTCCTAGCTATTTGGGAGGTTGAGATCAGGGGGATTGAGATTCAAAGCCAGCCCAGGGCATAGTTTGGGAGACCCTCTCGGAAAAAAAAAAAAAATCACAGGGACTGGCAGAGTGGCTCAGGTGGTAGAACGCCTGCCTAGCAAGTGTGAGGTCCTCAGTTCAAACCCCAGGGCCGCCAAAATAAACACATAAAAATGCTATTGTATCACGCCTCAAAATAGAATGAACAGAAGGAATCCTGGGCTGTAGAACAAATGGTAACAATTAAAACAGCTAGAATCCTGCAGCATACACTCTCACACCACAATGAACTCAGTAAGAATCAACAACAGAAAGATAGCAGGAAGAAAGAGAAAGAAATCTTCAGGCCCAAATTGTTTCACTGGAACATTCTATTGAGAATTTAAAGTGGAAGTAAAATGAATTTCAGTAATCTCCTCCAGGGAACAGAAGAGGACGGGGAGCACTTTCTGACTCATTTTACAAGGCAAGTAATGGAACCAACATAGATAGTACTGAAAAACTCCCAAAACTATAGAGCAATCTCTCTCATGAATTTAGGACAGAAATTCTCAATATTAGCAAAGCAAGGTTAACCATGTCTAAAAAGAATATATAGCATGACCAAGTGGAATTTATTCTAAGTTGGAAGGCCAGTTAAACACTTGAAAATCAATCAATGCAATCCACAGCTAATTTTTTTTTTTTTTTTTTTTGGCAGCACTGGGGTTTAAACTCAGAGCCTCACAGTTGCTAAGCAGGCGCTCTACCATTTCAGCCACTCCACCAGCCCCACAGCTAATGTGTTAAATGAGAAAAAGTGGGTCTGGGGTGGAGCTCAGTGGCAGAGCTTGCACAAGGTCTGGGATTGAGTGCCAGGTCTGCAAAATAGTATCAGCAAGTAAAATAAAATCAGTCTGGAAACGGACCAGAGGGCAAACAGCAAATGAAGAGGCATCTATCTACCCAAGAAAATCTAAAACATTTAGTAGGGTGAATCCATGGCACTTGAACCAAGACTACTGCTTCCGAGCTAAGGGAGGAGGACTCCATTCCAGACCTGTACAGCCCAGAACACAGGGCATGTGCCCCACCCTGCTCCCACCTGGAGGGCCTTCTTCCCAGATGCAGGGTGAGTGTGGTTAAAAGGGCTCCTTTCTGCACTCACCCCTGCTCGTGGGGGACCTCCCTTAGGGCATGGTGTACTGGCAGCCCTTCTCTCATCTAGTGTCTGTGTGGGGGTCCATGCCAGGAGAGGCTGCTGTCTCTCCACACTGAGGACTCAGCTACTGGCATGGGTGTTGTGCTGAAGCTGGCCACTGAGCTGAAGTTTCACCTTGATCTCTTCTCAACAAACTGAGTTGACAGCAGTATTGTGAGGAGCAAGGCAGGCTGCAGTAAAGGCCATTAGTGATTGTGATCTTATGAGAACACAGGTGGCTACTATACAGGAGAAAACCTCGGACTGAGACAGCTGGCGCCAGGTGTGGTGACTCACACTTGTAATCTAGCTACTCGGGAGGCCATCGTGGGCAAAAACCTCTAGAGACCTCGTTTCAATCAATAACAGCTGGGTGTGGTGGTGTGTGGTCATCCCAGCCACACGGGAACGGGAAGGGCAAATAAGATCGCAGTGCAGGCAGGTCTGGGCATAAACTCAAGACCTTATTAGAAAAATATATAAAGCAAAATGGGTGCCTAGGCATGTCTCAAGTGGTAAGAGTACTTGCATAGTAAGCATGAGGCCCTGAATTCAGATCCCAGTGCCACCACTGGGTCTGAGGGGTCTTCCCAGGTTTAGAGAGAATATCAAACCCCGCCCTCAGAAACTGTCTTGTGGATTGTTATGGATGTAGGGTCCAGAGGACTGCTTAGGACATTAGAGGCAACAGTGCAGTTTAGCAGCTGGGTCTGAGCAGGGAGGGAGAGCCCTACCCTACAGTAGCTGTCATCTCAGGGTGACTATGGTATCTGGAGGACTCTTCCCTAAGGGGCAGGATTAGAGGCTCAGCACTGGGGGTGGGGACAGACTTCACAATAATACGCTAGTCACCGAACAGGTCATCAAACTGCAGTAACAAGTCCAGAAGACCTACAGTTGCCACAGTGCTATTAAAATGTCCACTTCCCAACAAATAAATGTTCCAGACACACAAAGAAACAGGAAACTAGGATGCACACACCAGAAATGCAGGCAACAGAAACTGTCCATGTGAATAACCAGATGCTGATGTAACAGAAAAACATTTCAAATGTAACTTAGGGTCTACGATGGGATGGTGAGGCACCAAACACAGAACACCAATAAAGATTCAGAAATGATAAAGAAAGAAATGGAGCCAGGGGCCAGTGCCTCATGCCTGTAATCCTAGCTAGTCAGGAGGCAAAGATCAGGAGGATCACATTCAAAGCCAGCCCTGGGCAAATAGCTGGGAGTCCCTATCTTGAAAAAAACCCATCGGAAAAAAGGGCTGGGGAACTGGATCAAGTGGTAGAGTAACCTGCCTAGCAAGCATGAGGCCCTGAGATCAACCCCAGTGAATGCCCCCCCAAAATAAAACCAAAACAAAACACCAAAGAACTACAAACCACTGATGAAATCAGGCAAAGACCTTAAGACAGACTAGGTTGGGATGATTCAACAGTTACAATGCTGAGTCTGGCTGGAGGCCTGCCTCATGTGGCAGGGCACCTGCTTAGCATGCTCAGGGTCCTGAGCTCAAGTTGACACTCCCCAGTATGAGCCATACATTTAATGCAATTTCTATTAAAATTGCAAATTGCTGTTCTCAAAGACTTTTTGTAGACAAACTTACTCAAAAATTTGATGGATGGGTAAAGGAACTACACAATGGCTGTAACAACCTTCTAAAACGAAGTAAGACTCATTCATCCTGCTCAATATTAAGGCTTTTTATTTTTTTAAAGATGGCACCTCACAGGCTGGTGGGGTGCCTTAAGAGGTAGAGCACCTGCTTAGCAAGAGGGAAGCCCTGAGCTCAATGCCCAATGGCATCTCACTGTGTAGCCCAAATCAGCACAGCCTCCAACCTGTGATCCTCCTGCCTGAGCCCAAGTGCTGGGATTACACTTCCATGCCCAGCTTTTGTCTCATTTTGTAGCTACAGTAATAAAGAATGAGATGTACAGAAAACAGATCAGAAACGGCTCCCACATCTGCCCAACTGGCTTTACAGAAATGCAGAAGCAAGTCAGCGGCAACAGACTGCTTCAACAGTCTGGAGTGACTGGACAACTGTGGGCAAAAAACCAAACCTGGAGTCTTTAAGTCTCACCAACGTCATGTGAACAAGTGCCCCTAAACAGACCTGAGACTTACGTGTGACACTGCCAACCGCCCTGGGAGAAGACCAGAAATCTCAGGACTTAGCCTGGGCCCCAAAAGCATGGCTCACAAAACAAAGAACCAGTAACTAGAGTTCAGGAAAACCTCAGATGTGTTCCAGAAGACTTTAGGACAAAAACATGACAGTTCTCTACCTCATCTGTACATGGTAAAATTTGCAAGTTATACCTACCGCAGGATCAAGATCTAGAGAGAATAAACAAAAAAACCCCCACACACTCTCTAGGCTGGGATGTAACATAGGCCCAGCACAGGAGAAAACAAAAAAAAGCAAAACTTGACAAAGAAACCCCACTCAAAACAGGCTCACACTTGCAATCCTAGTTACTTGGGAAACAGATTTGGAGGATCAGTTTGAAGCCAGTTCTTGAAAAATATCCAACACACACAAAGGGCTGGTGGAGTGGCTCAAGTGGAGTACCTGCATAGCAAGTGTGAGGCCCTGAGTTCAAACCCACTAATAAAAGTTCCTTAGAACTCAGGAACTGAGAAGACATTTCAAAAGGGAATGGATGGCAAATGTTTATCAATTTATTGGAAGTGAAAAGATGTCCAGCATCAGTAGTCACTAGGGAAATGAAACTTAAAACCACTGCACCCCTCTGAGTATCAGTGGCTCACCCCTACTCAGGGGGCAGAGATTAGGATCGAGGATCAAGGATCAAAGCCAGCCCTGGCAAAATAGTTCTGCAAGACCCTATCACAAAAAAGCAAAACAAAAAAAAAAAACCATTCACAAAAATAGGGCCAGTGGAGTGGTTCAAGGTGTAGACCCTGAGTTCAAACCGCAGTACAAGGAAAAAAAAAAAAAAAACCAAACCCACTACATTCCTACACACCTAAGATTTACTGAAATGAAGAAAAAGCAGCAGCAACGAAGTGCAGCAGTGAAGATGGACTGACTGGATTGGTGGCAGGAATGCACCTATGCTACGGACACTGAACACTCCAATTCCTGACATCATCCTACCCTGCTCATTAATTCCAGTATGCCGGACACTGAACACTCCAATTCCTGACATCATCCTACCCTGCTCATTAATTCCAGGTAAGTGAAACTTCCAAGTCTGGACAGACTTTGTATGTGGAATGGCCCCAAGTTGGGAAGCAGCAGATGGTTTAGATGGCTGAGTACACATGGGGCCAAAGCCATGCCACTAGATTAAAGGTCTTGAGAACTCATTTCTTTAGATGCATTCCTAGGGTGACAAGAGCAATGGGGACTGGTGCTGGTGGGTGATGGGAATGTCCTGCCCTCCCATTAGCACTGAGGGCAGTTTTACCATTGAGAGTGCTGCATATTTTACCGCATGGTGACCCGTTATTTAAAATAAAAGTCAGCGGTCCCAGGTGAACAGGACAAACCTTTATTCACTTAGAGGCAAACAGCCCAGCGGGCCCCAGCAGCTCAGCCTTTGTGCTGCCCGCACCATGTACCACGTCAGGCACTTGGCAACTGCTTCTGTTTGGAATGCTCTGCCCTCCCCTGGAAGGCACTAGCCGTTGTCCCCTCCACAGGGCTAGGGACCACTCTGTGGTAACCAGCCCCCTGCGCCCCTGGCCCAGTGCTAGGCAGGGACTGGAGGGTGCCAGGCTTCAGGCAGAGGAGTAGATTCGGCCTGAGCCCAGGTAAGAGGGAAGCAGCTTCCTCTGCCCCCACCTCCTGGACTCTGAGGCAGGTGGGGTGGGGAGGTGGTCTCTCAGGCTGGGAGGCAGTGCACCGAGCAGGCCCAGAGCCCCATGTGAGCAGTTTTTGAGACAGCAGCACAAGGCTCTGGTCATGGTGGTCTTGACAGTAGCAGTCTGCTCTGGACCCTCTGGTGTCAGCCGAGTGAGTCTTCTCCCAGAGCCAGGGCCTTCCAAGTGCCTAGGCAGCCCTACACCACCTGCCACAAGAGGCCATCAGGGACCCTACAGTTAACTTGTTGTGAGACAAGGAAGAAGGGGCCTTCCAAGATGGGACTGAGTAACCACAGCTGGATCAGAACCTGGCCATGTACTCAGAGCGCGGTCCGCTTCCCTGGAGACTAAAATCGCAGGACTCCACTTGTCTATAGAGGCTGTCACAAGCCTGTGGCAATAGGGAAGTGAGTAGGGATGTGCACATGACAGAAAGCGTCCCTAGGAAAAGCTGGGACAGACAGGCACAAGACAGCTCTTGCCACAACTGTCCTTTGGTGGGGGTTGGGACTCACAGGACAGAGCCCCAAAGAGCTCTGCCTTCTAAAGCAGATGGGGAGGTATGAGGGTGACCAAGCCTGGAAGCTGCCTGGTGCTCCTCAGGGGGGAACACCACTTGCCTGCAGCCTACACTGCTGCAGTCACTTGGCCAGCTCCTCGGCCACCACCTTGCGCAGCTTATCCTTGAGGTAGGCCCCCTTCTGCCATTCAGACTTGAGATCCAGCCACTCGTAGTACGGGACCTGGAGGTGGTAGGTATGGGTCTCACTGGTGGGGGAACCTTTCCTGCTCCTTCCACTGCCTGCACGCTGACCTCTCACCCTCTTATGAGCTGACAGCTCTGCACACCCATGCCTTGGCCTCCAAGTCCTCAGGGAAGAGCCCATGGAGTCAGTCAGTGGAGAAGCCCTGACTCTGCCAGTGCTGGGGGAGTCCTGCACCCTACACAGGGCCCAGCAGGGGTATTAAAAAGAAAAAGAAAACGTGATGTAACCCTTATGCAGCTCTACGGTTTTCAGGACAGTTAATGCCCTGTGGTCTCAGCCAAGGTTTCCCAGCCCTCGGGGTGCTAGCCAGTTCTTTTCTTACTAGGGAGGTAGAGCAGCTGCCCTGCAGCCTCTGGGTTTGTGATGGGAGGCTCGGGGGAGACGCACTCACAGGGGTCATGCCCTGCTCCTCTGTGGGGCTAGAAGAGGAACAGGGGAGAGGGAATGACTGCCTGCCCAACAGGTACTCACATCCACCACCAGGAAGCCAGCAGCCAGAATGTGACGCCGGGCAAGGACAAAGTGGCCCAACAAGTCCTTGCTTCGGCTGTTGAAGTTGGGGAACTCCCAGCGCAGGAAGGCAACCCTGGTGGGAGAAAAGGGCTGACAAAGTCTGTCTGCTCTCTCAGCCCCGAGAGACAGGGCAGAAAAGACAGCCCAGTGTGCATGGCCTAAGAGCAGTGACACTTCAGGACCTTTGCCAGGGCCACAACCAGGGGGGTCCCTGCCACTTACCTCTTAGCCCCTGGAGGCAGTGGCTGGCTCCCAACTGGCTGGACAAGGTGAGGTGCAACAAAGTTCCTCAGGGGCAGAAACTGGCCATCAGCGTCCAGCAGCACCTCTGCATCTGGGGGGAGGTGCGGGATGAGAACTTGTAAGGATGGTCCCTTGGAGACCCCCAGGATGGACAGAGTGGGGGAGTGGGCAAGAGTGTAGCAGGCAGGATCAGAATGGTCTTAACTATCAAGGCTCAGGCAGAATCAGGACCTCCCCACTGAGGGAGCCCTCACCCAGCACCCAGCCGTACTGCGTGGCCACCTCGAGCCGGCCCCGGTCAGAACCCCCGAGCAGTGCCTTCAGCGCCTCTTGTAGGTCCTTTTGCAGGGGGGTTGCCTTCCTGTCAGGGGCGAGGGGACTGGGGGCCACAGCTGGGGATGGCAAGAGGGGGCCCTTGTATTCAGGGTGCTCCAGCTGGGCGGTGGTGTTGATATGGAGCAGCTTCTGGAAGGTGCTCTGGTCCTTTGGAGACAGTCCTGGAGGACGGCAAGAGAACAGGTGGGAAGAGAGCCAGGAGGAGAAGAGATGGTGGTTGGAAGAGGTCTGGACGGGAACATGCTCAGGGTCAGTCAGGGTCAGGGGAGGCAGAGTTAAGGGTCAACTGGCAGCCCTGGGGTTGTGTTGTGTGTGTGTGTTTTGTGGGTGGTGTGTGTGTGTGTGTGTGGGGTGTGGTTGTGTGTGTGTGTGTGTGTGTGTGTGTGTGTGTAAGGAGTGTCTCACCTAGAAATCGCATGTGAAATCCAGGGTGGAGGACGGCTTGCAGCTCTGCCTCCCGTACCTGCTGCAGCACACACAGTGCCCACACCAGGTCCACCTGAAGGGCTGGCTCCAGGCTCTCCAGTGCTGGCTCTAGCCGCTCGTGCACCTGGGCAAGGACAGGGTGTGGTGGAAAAAGCCCACACCCTGTCCTTGTGCCCGGGGATTGTGATATCCAAGAACAGCCTGCAGCTAATCAGCCATTCTACACCTGTCACATTGCAGCCAGAGGATGTTGCCAGGGAGCATGAGCAGGACCCTGGCCAGGTGAGGCCAAGGGTCCAAGGGACCTTCCCTCCTCATGCCTGAAAAGCACTACCAAATGCTGGCTTGCCCCCCTCACCCCTCCACTTGAGGGACCTAAGGCCCCAAATCCTTTCCAATAATGCTCCCCTCCCCACCCATGGGCACTGAGATAAGGAAGGTGGCATTCCCTGTCTCTGACAGAATAGAGCACCACCTGAGAGGTGGTATCCTGACTGGCACCAGAGGATGTTGCCAGGGAGCATGAGCAGGACCCTGGCCAGGTGAGGCCAAGGGTCCAAGGGACCTTCCCTCCTCATGCCTGAAAAGCACTACCAAATGCTGGCTTGCCCCGCTCACCCCTCCACTTGCAGGGACCTAAGGCCCCCAAATCCCTTCTCCAATAATGCTCCCCCTCCCCCACCCATGGGCACTGAGATAAGGAAGGTGGCATTCCTGTCCTCTGACAGAATCAGAGCACCACCTGAGAGGTGGTATCCCTGACTGGCACTCTCAAGATTGTACCAGAAGTCCCCAGTGGTGCCTGGTTTGTGGCTTCTTGACGTGCCAGTTCTTCCTAAATGCCCACCCCTGTAACTGGTGGGCATTCACTTGGCACTGAAGTCTCCCTGGAGTCTCTGCAGTGGACCATGGCCTCTCAGCACCCACTAGGCATGAAAAGCAGCACTGGGAAGTTAAGAGCAGGGCCTTCCCAGGGAGGGATCACCCCTCCCCCTCTTCCACCCAGTCCAGTGCCCATACCAAGCTGAAGAACTGATCCTCATGTTCTGGACGGAAGTTCAGACGGGCAAAGGCCAGAAGCATGCTGCACACGTGAGCCAGGGTGGCATCTTGGGCTCTGTTCAGGAGGTGCTGGGCCACCAAAGGAAGCATGAGTGTCCTGCAAGCAGCTGTCCTCCCACCCAGCCCCAAACCTGAGGGGAGACTGGGTGGCAGGGGACAGCTGTAGGATGCACCCCCTGGAGAGAAACCCAGAAGCTGCTTCCCTGACAGAAGCTGTGGAAGTTCCGTCCAAGCAGCACGCTTGGTTTAGACCAGCTGCAGGCCACAGAAGACAGTTATGTCCCTCCTGCAACTCCACTGGGGCAGCCAGCAGCTGGGAGAATTCCAAAGGGATCCTTGACTTCACTGCACCTCCCCCCATGGCTGCTCCAAGATGAATGGAAACACAGCATTTGGGAACAGAAGAAACAAGTCTCAGGTATGTTTCCCACTACTGAACCATAACACCTCCTTCCAAATAAGTGAAAAAGAAAGGAACAATATTTATCACCCTCCAGCAAATCTTTTCAGACTGCCTTCACTTCCCCATTTAAAGCAACAGTTCCCGCCACAGACCTATGCAGCCACCTTCTGAGTTGGGGACAGAGAGCCCTAGAGCCGGCCCTGGCTCACCTGGGCAAAGGCTTCAAACAGGGGTAAGTTGAGCCACTTGAGGAAGGCAAAGGACTTGGCACAGCGGGCCACCTCGCTGGGTGTCAGGCTGTGTATGAGGGACAGCAGGTCAGCAGCCAGGCGCTGGGACACCTGGGTTTGGTGAAAGCTGAGTTTGCCTTTGGGACAAAGCAGACCACAGATCTTAGCTGGAGAGGTCAGCAGTCACCCACGGCCCCAAACCACCTTGCCTTGAACTCTAGAGGCTTAGTGTCTGTGATCAAATTTATCCCTGAGCCCAGGTGAAGGGAACAGGGCCCATGAGTCACAGTGTTTCTGTGGCAGCCTTCTGGGCCAGTGCCTGCCATGGACAGGGCAGACACTGAATTTGACACAGCTGCAGGCACCTGCCCAGCCGGGTGCCCTCTTCTCACCATAAGCGTAGGCCAGGTCCAGGAGCATGCCTTTCGTCAGCAGGAAGGGCTTCTGTACCAGGTGGTAGGAGATGGCCCGCAAAAGTGGCACCGACCGCCGGCTCTGAGCTGCCAGTGTCACCAGCACCTTCCGCAGCTCGTCAGGGCCAAACTGTTCCACCAGCTCCAGACACTGTTAACCACAGCCGTGCAGGGGTCAGCTTGATGGCCTGAGGTGGTGGGGACGAGCTGGGGGAAGGGGTCCCATCCAGTGCAGCCCCTGCGAGACAGCAACTGGGCCTGAGCTAACTCCACACAGGCCCCTCTGTGCAGGACCTGCCTCCTCACTTGCCCCAGGAACCCTGGACCTAGAATATGGTGTCTGCAGCCAAACTTATCCCCAGGTCCCAGAGCAGGGGACCCAAGGCCCATGAGCAGCAGAGCTTGCTATGGCAGCCATCTAGGCCAGCCCCCACCACGACAGGACAGGGGCTGAATTTGACTTGACTGCAGGGACAGTACTAAGGGATGGAGGGGGACAGGACACAGCACCTCCAGGAGGGTTCTAGCTAGAAGCAGGGGCTGTCCAAGTCTAGAAGCTGCCTGTCACACCTACTTCTCAAGATCATGTAAGTGACAGCATTAGTTTTCTTGCAGTGCAGGGCCTTGTACATACTGGGCAAGTGCTCAACCACTGAGCTATACCCCCAGCTCCTAGGTGGCAGACTCAGGAGGAAAACAGGTGTAACTGAGGAAAATAGCTGTGTTAGGAGCAAGTGGGCAGGTGGTACTGGACTAATGTGGCCAGAGTCATCACTTGCTTCCCCTCGGAGCCTTCTGGTCCCTCTGTGTGTGATGCCTAAGATTCTGGACAGAAACTTCCAGGGCTCCTGTCTTGGTGCTGCCTGTTCTCAAACCCATACCTTATCTTCCAGGCGGTTCATCAGTGGCTCTGAGAGGTGCCCTGCCTTCATCATGACAGCCACCACTGTGCGGCCGTCTTCAATCTCTGTCCAGCGCCTCTCCAGGTGCACCAGCAGCTCAGCCAGCAGTTCCTGGGAGTGCTGCTCCTGCATGGAGGCACAGGACTCGGCCAGGAGGGCCAAGTGCTTGTACCTGAGCCTCCGCAGGCGCCAGCGAACCTCCTGCTCCACTGACTGCAGTTCCTTGGAGGTCTTGGGGAGCGCCAGTGTGTACAGGCTCCTCAGCAGTTTCACAAGGGTCCCATGCCAGACTGAGGTTATCTGAATAGAAAAAGACAAAGGCAGGGTCACATGTGGTCCCTGTTAATCATGTGCCTGAGCTGCCGCCGCCTCTATGAACCCCACTTCACTCCCATGAATCCAGTGTTTTGCTCAAGATGGCCAGGACAGCTGCTATCGCTTGCAAGTAAGAACTCTGACCGCTAAGAAAAATCCTCTAACACAGACTGATCTAGCTCATTTAACAGAGACCACACCCTGTCATGTGGCCCCAGCACAGCTGTGCAGTACACACACCTGAGCCTCAGCAAAGCAAGAGCAAGTCTAGACCGCAGGGGGAAGGGACTCTAGGGTGACCCCCAGCACAGGTGGAGGCACTGAGGCTGTCTAAGGCCTGTTGTCTCACCAGCTCATTACTTTAACTTGCAATGGCAAAGTTTTAGCTATTAAAATCCTGACTTTTCTTTGGGAAAACACCTGCTAACCTCAACTTTTCTCCAACAAAACAACTGTAAGTCTCTGGTGATGTGAGGTTTCTTAGGAACGTGACTATTACAATAAACAGAAAAAAAAAAATGGTGTCCTGCAGACCAGAGACAGGGTCCAAGTACAATGCTGCTCCCCCACCCCCCAGTGGCATGTGACCCAAGCCAGGAGCCTCTAGGAAACCTTTTGACACCTGAATACAAACATCCCTGGCACCTCTGAACCCTGCCTGCCCCCAAATGCCAAGGTCTCTTGGGAAGACCCCAAGAGCCCTAGCAGGCTCTTGCAGTGCCATAGAACCTTCTCCATACTCCCAATACGAAAAGCCAACAACTTGCAAGATTCTGTCACTAGGCTCATGGCACACACAGGTCCAAGTTTTGAAGCAACTATGTTCCAGGACCTGCACCCCAGTCCTCCTGCTGCCAAGGCTGCCTCTTTTCTGAAGAGGCCAACTCGTCTGTGCAGTGTCTCCATGAGTGGCCACAAAGTCAACCTGGCTCAGACCTCACCCTGAGCTGAAGACAGTGGATGGTGAACTAAGTATGTCCTCTGCACCACAGGGGGTGAGCTGGGAACAGAGAAGCTGCTTAGGCTTCGTTTCCTGGACAGCAGGAAAACCCTTGGGAAGAAAGGCCCTTCACCATTTACACTGCAGAGGCTGCTGCCATTGCTACTGCCTTACATCCCCATGTTTACTCTTGTATCCTAAGACTTGATTCAATTGTGCATAAAACATTCAACAATAGGAACTAGAATTACAGCCTCAGAGGACAAGAAGAGCCTATTAAGCTCACTGTATGAAGTATATGCTTAGCAAGAAATGAATGTGCACCTGACTCCAGTACCTCCAGTGTCAGAAGTGTCCATACTTAACAAAAGTTCCCCTTAATATGTGTACTTTTAATACTGCTGTACCTCATTAAAAACAAAAATGTCCCATTAGAGACTGTAAAACCTGCAGCTTAAAAAACACTCACTAAGTACAACCCCTTTCTCATTACACCTGACAACTGGGACCAATGTTCCTATACCTGGGCACCTCTCTTCCAACACAGATTAGGACCGAGGCTAGTTTGGCCAGGGCAGGAGCTATATTTCCTTTTGCCAGAGCCCAGAGAAGCACCGAGTGAAAGGGTCTTTCCTTACACTGGGAAGGAACTTGCTTCTGAGCTGAGTGCTGCCCTCCAGAGCCACAAACAGGCCTTTTCTCTTCTCCCACACATTCTTTGAGATGCTGAATGTGCGAGAACATAGTGAGATTACACCCACTCGCAACTGAAGCTCCAGGGACCCGCCACTGGTCACAATGCATCGGCTCCAGCTTCAAGAGCGGTGCCTAAATGGCAGCCAGGTCCTGAGGGGTTTGGTGGGAAAGCACTGAAGGAACTGAGAGAACCAGGCTTGGGCTTGGGTGTGGCTCAAGTGGTACAGCGAATGCCTGGCAAGCACAAGACCCTGAGTTCAACCCTGCCCTAGTACCACCCCCTAAAACCAGTCTCATCTCTTGTACGTCAGTGTTTTGGTTGCCTGTAAGGTGAGGGCAGCAGTATTTACCTAAAGGGGCTTCCATAAGGACAAATGGAGAAGCACATGAAAGGACTTAGAAAAGGCAGAAGACAGTGGGGGTCCCTGCTCACAGCTGGTGACTTTGGCTATTCTCTTCTCACCTACCTGGCTGTTGACCAAATGGAGAAGTTGCTGGAAGCGGGCATCCTGCACGAGCAGGGCCTTTTCTCTTGGCTTATCAGACAGCAGGCGAGAGAGCCTGATGAGTATGAGGGCTGCGTGGTTGTGATGCAGGCTGTGACCACCATGCAGTAGCTCCAGGAGCTCCTCTGGCCCAGCGGCCTTCTCGATGAGGTCGTCCAGCTCTTGTTTCTCTGGGTAAGGAGTAAAGACCTGCTCCCTCTCTACTAGCTCTGTCAAGGAACCTGGGGAGTGGGAACTGTGGGAAGTGGCTGAAAAGGTCACAGTCTTATGGGGCACTCCAGCAAGTCTCAGTTGGCCAACTGGAGCCACAGCAGGGACCAGGCGAGTAGCTTCTTGCCACAGGCACATGCATCGCTTCACCAGGCGGGCTGCCATGTTGGCCCGCAGGAGCAGGGAGGTATGCTCCTAGCAAGCAACCCTAAAGCCCTGAGGAGAAAAAAAGAGAGGGACATGAGAGGGTACCTCCTAATCCACAAACTGGAAAAAAACCATGAGGAATGACACAAAGTCACAGCCAACCTTTAAACCAACCTCAACCTTTCCCCTTTTTGAAAGTCCCTGAGGCAGTATTTTCTGAAGCAAAACTTCTCAGGGATCTTTTGTTTCAGTACACAATGCTGCCACTAAACATCAAAACTCGAAGCGCCCTGCTGTGGGAGGTCTGCAGCCCCAGCAGGCATCTATGCATGGAAGGCTTGCACAGCATTTGATTTTTATGACTATTTTTGCTATTATTTTGGCAGTACTGGGAGGTTGCACTCAGGGCCTTGTAGTTGCTAGGCAGGCACTGTACCACTTGAGTGACTCCACCAGCCCTTTATGCTGGTTTTCATATGGGGTCTTGCTTTTTGCCTAGCTTGCATGGACAGCAATCCTCCTATTTGTGCAGCTGAGATAACAGGCATGCACCAACACAGTCAATAGTTGAAATGGGAGTCTTGCTAACTCCTCACCCTTCCCTCAAACTGTGATCCTCCCGATCTCCACCCCCTCCACCTCCCAGAGCTAGGATTCCAGGCTTGAACTATGGCACCTAATTGGTTTTTTTTTTTTAAATTTCAAGGGTACCCAGGTTTAAGAATTACTGACTTAGAGACAACATGACAGGTTATTCTAAATCAGATGATCCTGGGAAACCCAGGATGCACAACTCATACTTCTAAAGTTTCTGTGGAAATATTTTAACACAGTACATATAATATAGGAGTGAGTTTCCCCAAACCAAGGTAGACTACATCAGCAAACTACTTGAAAAAAAAACCCAGTACCACCCCCAAATTCCTGAATCAATCAAAATAAGGTTATAGGGGCTAGAATCATCTTCCCAGTTCATCTCCTCTCCCTTCCCAAGACACAGTCCTCTTCTAATCAGGCTTTACATTCCATCCCACTTTGCAGGCTTGCTGCCCCACCACTGAATTATAGGGCCCCACAAAATGTCACCTACTTTACAAACATGTCATGTATTTCTATGCAGTAGCTCTTTTTTTTTTTTTGTAGGTGGGTCTAGGGTTTGAACTCAGGGCTTTGCGCTTGCAAAGCAGGTGCTCTACTACTTGAGCCACAACTCCAGTTCATTTTGCTCTGGTTATTTTGGAGATGGGGTCTCATGAACTATTTTCCTGGGCTAGTCTTGAACCTCAATCCTCCCAAGTAGCTAGGATTACAGGTGTGAGCCACTGGCACCCGACCTCTATGCTGTTGTTTTTAACAATTTCATCTGCTAGTCTTGCCCTCTAAAATGATTAAATGACCCGCACCAGACAAGTGATGGAGACTGGCTTAGGCCAAAGTAGAAAGCACTTTTAAATTTCTTGTACTTCTGTAAATTTAGTATATGACACATATATCTTACTGCCATGTGAGCAGATTACCGCTGTAAAAAGGTTAGTTTAGTTCAGCGCCTGGCAGGTCACGCTCACACCTGTAATCCTAACTACTTAGGAGGTTCAGATCAGGAAGATTTAGGTTCAAGGCCAGCCTGGGCAAACAGTTTGAGCCCACGTCTCCAAAATAACTTAAGCAAAATGGGCTGGAGGTGTGGCTCAAGTGGTAGAGCGCCTGCTTTTCAAGTGTGAAGCCCTAAGATCAAACCTCAGTCCCACCCAAAGAAAAAAGTTAAACTCCACATAACGGGAAAAAACCAAACCAAACCAAACAAAACACAAAACAGGCTCAGAGAGAAGGGACATGCCCAAGCCCAGCATCATCTCTCATTTCCTGAACCTAGGCACAGTGACAAAGCGCTGGAAATCTTTTCCTCTTTTTTTTTCTTTTTAAAAAGTTTTTTTCGGAGCGGACTGAATCCAGGGCCTTGTGCGTACCAGGCAGGCGCTCTACCTCTGAACCACATCCCCAGCCCAATCTTTCCTATTTTAGGACAGCTCTAAGAGAAGTTCAAATAAGTCAAGTTCAGAGGCCGGCCTTGGAGTTAGGCAAATGTCGACCCGGAAGTTTGCAGAGAGCAAGAACCGAACTCGCTGTGACAGCAAGAGCCAGCGCTTTCCAGACCGGGCCGCATGGACCTGGCGGGACGTGGAGACGCGTGCACACTGGCTGAGGCGGGGGGCGGGAGCGGGGCGCTGGCGCTTAAGAGGCAGCAGTCAGAGCCGGTTGCGTTCAGCGGCCCCCCTCTGACCCCTCGCCCCGGCCCGCCGCGTACAACGCCCTCCCCTATCCCCTACCGCCCTCTTCCCCTTCCCAGTCACACCTTCGTGCCCTGATACTCACGCTAAGTGGCCCGTTTTCCCCGCGGCACGGGATGTACACCGCAAGCGGCCACACTGACCTCCATCCGCCCGCACTGTCCGCGGAACCACGCGGCGCGTCGCGTTGACCTACGTAATCAGAGCGCCATCGGAAGCGAGGGCGCCGCGCACCGCCTGACCGGAAGCCACGCCCACCACCCGGTTCTGGGTCAGCGCCATATTTGTTGAGGGCAGATGCAACCCAGGGACTTGCAGTGACCGACGGATTAGGGGACCCTGAAGAAGAAAATTTAGCGGAAATAAAGACGGCTGGGAGGCTTGGGGTCCCTCTGTCTGGTCCTCATACTTGTACGGAGTTCGGGAGACGACCTCTGTTGTCAGTCGGTGATGCCCGTCCATGTGGGTCTATCGTAGGAACGGTAGGAGAGCTCGAGGGCGGTGTGATTATGGGGTGGGTTGGGCGACGCTGGGGACTCTAGGGGATGGGCGACGCTGGGGACTCTAGGGGATGAGAATGCCAGAGAGCTGGTGACAGCCCCAGCTGGAGATCCTCCGAGGAAATTTGTCCACACCTGACAACAGCAACAGGAGTCCAGACCCGGTGTGGTGGTGCACGTCTGTAATCCCAGCACTGCGGAGGCTGCGGTAGGAGGATCGCCAGTTCGAGGCCAGCCTGGGCTACATAGCGAGACCCTGTCTCGAGAAAATATCAGACAAACAAATTGTGGAATAGGCAAAACAAAACATATCTGAAGTCTACGTGTGAACTTGATTCATCTTCCTGTACTGCACTTTATGTTGCAAGGAATTAATAATTTCTTAAAAAAAAACTTGTTTATTAGAACACATTAGTAGTATAAGGGGATTTCATTGTGATAATGCTACAGATTTATGCTGTGTACTTTGAACAAGTTCAAACCCAACTGTTATATTTCTTTTCTTAAAACAGCATTTGGTCACAGGGTACCGGTAGCTCCGGGATGTAATCCCAGCTTCTTGGGAGGCTGAGATCAGGAGGATTGAGGTTTGAGCCCTGGGGAGATAGTTTGAGAGGCCCTATCTCCAAAAATAACCAGACCACAATGGACTAGATGTGAGGCTCAAGCGGTAGACTGCCTGCTTTGCAAATGCAAAGCACTGAGTTCAAACCCCAAAATCCCAAAAAACAGCGTTTGGTGGATTTTATTATGTTGTCTTTGTATGTGTGTAATGTACTTTGATCTTCTTACTATTTCCTAAAAAAATTTTTTTTGGTAGTACCAGGTTTTGAACTCAGGCCCTTGTGCTTGCTAGGCAGGTGCTCTACCACTTGAGTCACACCTCCAGCCCTCTTTTACAATTTTGTTTGTTTATTTATTTATTTTCAGTACTGATGCTTGAACTCAGGGCCTACACCTTGAGCCACTCCACCAACCCTTTTTTGTGATGGGTCTCGAAAACTGTTTCCCCGGACTGACCTCAAATGTTGATCCTCCTGATCTCTGTGTCCTGAGTGAGGGTTACAGGTGTGAGCCACTGGAGCCTGGCTAAATTTTTATTTATAAGAGACAGGGCCTCGCTTCCTGGCCTTTTGGCTAGAATCAAGTGTAGTTTAAGAAGAGACAGGGTCAGCCAGGCGTTGGTGGCTTACAGTTGTAATCCTAGCTACCCAGGAGGCAGAAATCAGGAGGATCATGGTTTGAAACCAGCTGGGGCAAATAGTTGGTGAGACACTTTATTTTGAAAAAAAAAAAAAAATCACAAAAATGGGCTAGTAGAGTGGCTCAAGGTATAGGTCCTTGGTTCAAACCCCAGTACCACAAAAAAAAAAAAAAAAAAAGACAGGTATGGCTGTGTTGCCCAAGCTGGCCTCCAACTTGAGATCCTCCTGCCTTAGCAGTCCAAGTAGCTCAGACTATAGGTTTACACCATGATGCTTGGCTTACCATGGTTCAACTTGTTGCATTGACTAAGATTCTCCCACTGTATATTAACTCAAATTGGATCAGAGCTGTCAGTGCAAAGCTATCAAACTCTTAAAAGGAAACATAAGAGTAAAGTTTCATGACCTTGGATTAGGTAATGGTTTCTTAGGATACCAAAAGCAAAATGACAAAAGAAAAAAATTAGATAAGTTGGACTTCTTCAAAATTAAAAACTTGTGCTTTCAAAGATGCTTGATGGAGTGGCTCAACTGGTAGAGCACCTGCTTAACAAGCATGAGGCCCTGAGTTCAAACCCCACTGCCACAAAAAAAAAAAAAGTGAAAAGTTGCTGAGTGTGCTGGTGCACACCTATGATCCCAGCACTTGGAGACTGTGGCATGAGGATCTTGAGTTCAAGGCCAGCCTGAGCTATATAGGGAGACCCTGTCTCAAAAGGAGAGCCTGGTGCTGGCATTCAGTGGTGGTGAAGATGGCGTCACAGTAGTGGAAGTGTGTGTGAGAATGGAGGAATGGTGCAAAGAAAGTTAATCCCTTCCAGGGGTGGTGCCTCAGACTCTAATTACCTCTCACCAGACACCCCCTGCACCTATTTCTTAAAGTACTTCAGTCCTGGAGATCAGGCCTCTAACACAGAACCACGGTGGACCAACCACACCCAAATTGTAGCCTCCTGCTCGTGGCTCTGGGGAGCTCTCACTTGGGGGAGAATTTTTTTCTGTACACAGCTTTGGAACACTGTTTTGGGAGAGCCTTCACACAGCTCTTTGGGGACCCCTTCTTATCCTGCACATGGCTCTGGGGTGCTATTTCTCTGGAAGACCTGTGTGCCCCAAGGCCAGCAGCCTGACACAGCCTGATCTCTCTATGTGCCACGCCCAGAGAAGGCCTATGTATTGCTCATGCATCAGTTCACAGAGTGGCTTCCTGCAAGCATGGTAGTACAGGCCTGTGACCCCAGCGCTTGGTGAGCTGAGGCAGGAGACATGAGTTCAAGGCCAGCCTGAGCTACATAGTGGGATCCTGTCTGAAACCAAAACAAACAAAACACCTTCTGTCTGTGTTCACTGACTGGGTAAGGGATGGACAGGTGTTTCCATCACTTCAGAAGGTGATTTCACAAGGTCATGTAACCTGTGAGCTTGGGTTACATGCTCTCCGGGATTGAGAGTTCCCTGTGTATGTGGGCCCCTGGGGTTCAGTATGAATAGCCCATTTCCCTTCCTTGCAAGATCTGAAAAGGGCCTTTTCCCCACAGCAAGGATGGAAGCAGGTTGACCATATCTTGGGGTGACCTTCATCCTATCCAGCCTGCTGGTAGGAGTCATCTCTATACCATTTGTGCTGAGCGGGTGAGCCAGATGGGGCTTCAACTCAGAAGGCACAGGCTTAAATCAAAGAGCAGCTCCAGCCATGTTTCTTCCAGGTAGAGGGTGGGTGGCAGAGGGGCTCCATGTAGCCCATGAGGGTTGGAGCCTTGAAGACAGAGCACCTGAGCTCTGAGGTTCCACAGAGCTTCGAGGCCCACTCCCAGTTGCAGTTCCTGGAATCACCGGGACTGGCCAGGTGACAACTCCCACACAGCCAATATCCTCATGCCAGTGGCCTTAAGTGACCGGCAGAGCCACATCCCCCTCTGTGGGTGGGCTGGCCAGGCACAGCAAAACCCGATGGGTCCTCTGGCAAATTCCAGTACAGAGATCAAAGCTACAACGTGCTGTTCCTGACACCTAAGTCCTGGTGCCTTAAGATGGGCATATCCATCCCGAGGCCCCCAGCTCTGATGGAAGGAGCCCAAGAATGGGCATGACCTGGTCTCTACCTATTGGCATCCGTCCCCTGCTTGGGGACATTCATCCATCCTTCCTAGTGGGGCAGAGGCATACAGATCCAAAGGAAAAACACCAACCAGAGGGCCCCTGGGCCCCAGTTGGCAGGAAGTGGAACTTGAGTAGGGTGTGAGTCTGTAAGGACAAAACAAGCCAAAAATCAGAGGCAGTGTCCCTGGTGAAAGGGACTCGAGTTCTCCCATCCCTCAGAGCGTGTGTCTGGTGTGCTTCCTTTCTTTGAGATGTAGTCAGCCTTTTTGGAGACTCAATAGGCCTTTTGTCAGATGTATGACTCAGTAGTGTCTTTATTATTATAGTTGTATACTGTGACATTTACAAAAGTTCTTACACTATATCTTAGTTGAATTCACCCCCTCCATCATTCTCCTTTATCCCTCCTCCCTCCATTCCTGGAACAGTTTCAGCAGGTCTCATTTTTCCATTTTCATACATGAGACGTAATATTCCCACCATATTCTCCTCCTACACCCTTTCCTTATATCCTCCCCCTCCCACTGGTGCCAACCCCAGGCAGGACCTGTTTTATCTTCCTATCCTTTATTTTTTGAAAAAAGACTTTTTTGTTTGTTTAAGATAGCTACACAGGGAGTTTCCTTGTGACCTTTCCATATATATATGGATTAGAACCTGAATTGGTTCATTTATTTTTCTTCTTTCTACTTTAGCCTCTTCTTAGGTGATTTCAACAGGTTTAAAAATTCTATATTCATTCTTGTCTAGAAAGTACATCAACCACATTCACCTTCTTAACTGCCTTCTTTTATCCTCCCTCTCTCCTATGTGACCTCCCCTTAGCATGTTTTTCATAATATTGCTGTATTTGTGTTAGGTCTGTATTCCACATATGAGAGAAAACATTTCTGACCTGGCTAACTTCATTTAAGTTGATGTTCCATCCATTTACCTGCAAACAGAAAATTTCATTCTTTGTGGTTGAATAAAACTCCGTTGTATCTATGTGTGTGTGTGACACACACACAATGGAGTTTTATTGGACACATATTTTATTATACACCCATATGCATATATATAATATTTTTTTCTTAAGCCATTCATCCAGTAGCATCTTTCTAAAAGCCTTGGTGCCATCTCTTTGAAATGCAAGCATCAAGGATCTTAATGTTCCTGTTGTCCATTCCGTAGGAGGTTGGGCACCTAATTTCCAGGGGAGAAGGGGTATCACTTCAAGTTGCTAAATAACCTGTTGTCTTAGGCATCTGAGGTTTGTTTCTCCTCTGGGCAAAGCCAGTCAACAAACTCAGGGGCCACCTCCATTGCCAGGTGGATTTTAGGAACTTCGTGCTAGAAGCTAGAGGCTGGACTGATGCAGAAGGGTGCTACCACGGAGACTG